TAAATCTGTTTTTAAACTGGTGATTTTAATCCATTTAAATTTATTGATATTATTGATATATTTGTATATATTTTATCATATATTATGCATTTTTATTTAACTTGTCCTTACTTTGCCCTTTTTCCTCTTTTTCCTGATTACAATTTGAAAATGATTGAGGTTTTACCTTGTTTTTCATTCTTCTGGTTTAGGAGATATACATTGTTTCTTTTCTTTTTATTGTTTCCTTTCATTTCTTTTCCTTCTATCCTTCCTTTTTCCCTCTTCTCTTTATTTTTCTCTCTCTTTCTTTGTCTCTCTCTCTCTCTTTCCTTCTCCCTCCCTCCCTCTCTCCCTCTTTCCCTGCATTCCTACCTTTCTTCCTTTTTTGTGTTACCCTTAAATTAACATGAATGAATGAATGACTTTACATAATCTAAATGAATTAATAGCTCTATCTTCTTATCTCCAAATAAAAGGACCTTAGAAACCTTATTTTATCACTGCTTATTTTTTATGTTATCTAAAATTTAGTTATAGTTTGCTTAATTTTAATTTTTAGATTTTTTTTATCAAAGAACAAGAACTTAGTTTGAAATTCAAGTTATTCTACAAGGCTTATAACATGAACATGTGTTCTTGTTTTTCAATATCTCTCTTCACTCCTCCAGGATTCTCTTTTCTTGCTCCCCACCAACTCTTTTTCTTCTTAACCTGACTTTCTCCTGTTTGCCTCCATATCTCTAAATAATATGTTTGTTATATATCAACTTTCTACTATGACAGATGATGACTTGGCTCTGTTACTACCTCCCTCCGCCCCCAGTTTACTCCTTTCACTTTCCCAATAGGGCTATATTGGAACTGCCTTTCTGCCCCTCTCAATCATTAGAAATACTTATCTCCAAAGACAACTATCAGAGTTTCATACCATAGAGTCATTTTGCTCATTTTTAAACTTTACGGAGTTGAATAATACAGTATATACTTTTTGCACCTGTCTTCTCACATTATGTGAGATTGCTATTGTTCATTCTTTTTTTATTGCATTGTAGTATTTCACTGAATAAATATAACAATACATTTATCCACTCTACTGATTATGGACATTTGGCTTATTTTCAAATAAATAAAGGTACTATAAATATTCTCATTCATGTCTTTTGGTACATGGATGTCTTGTGTTTTTACTGGGCATATTCCTAGGAGTGGGGTTTCTTGGTTAAAGGCTATGTGTTTGTTTAACTTTAATAGATATGACCAAACAGCTTTCCATAATGGATGCACCAATTTACACCCCTGACAGTAGAGTATAATAGTTCTACTTGCGCCACATTCTTATCACTCTTGGTATTGTCACTCTCTCTTGTGTGAGCCACTGTGAATGGGAATTGATATCCCATTGTGGTTTCAGTTTTAATTGCCCTAGTGACTAATACTTTTGAGTAGGTTTTCATAATTATATTGGACATTTTACTGAGTGTTTAAATTTCTTGGCCATTTTCTATTGGATTGTCTATCTTTCCTATTCATTTAAAAATTTTATTATCCTGGATATGAAACTTTTGCAAATTGCAAACACCTTTTCCTATTTTATGATACTTTTATAATCTTTAAATCATATGCTTTGATAAGCTGAAATTTTTAATTTTAATGTATTCCATCTTTCTTTCTTTTAGGTTCGTGCTTTGTGTGTCCCTTTTAAGAAATCTCCACTTACACCAAATTCAGGAATATATTCTATGTGTTCTTATAGATCAGCAGTGTTCATTAGAAATATAATGTAAGCTACAAATTTCAGCCATTTATGTAATTTAAAAATTTTAGGAGACACATTAAAAATAAAGCAGGAAAATTAATATGAATAATAAAAAGTGTTAAGCACATATTTTTGTTCTTTTTTTAAAAACTAAGATTTCAAATTCTAGCCCCATTTCAAGTGCTGATAGCCATATATGACTAATGGCTACTATACTGAGCAACCCAGTTCCTGGAAGCTTTAATGATATGCTATTCACATTTAGCTTTACCATCAGGTGTATTTGATTTTTGTGTGTGGTATGAGGTAGTATACCCTGCAAGAAAACTAGACAACTCATACAATCAAAGGAGGATCTTCAGGAGTCAGAACCAATCTGGGTTCCTTAAGGACTAAATAGGGCTTGATTATACTAGGACTTTCTGAATATATCTCATCTCTGCATATTCTCTTTTATTCTGTGAGGATTTCTGCAACATGGCAGTGGACATAGTTGCTAGTTGTTCTGGGCTCACATCATTACAACTTCCAACAGATGAGAAAAGATGATTGTAATTCTTTTTAGAAATTTCTTAGCTCAGGTCACATCCTGATATCCTGAAGCCAAGGAGATAATTATCTTTGGTCAGGCCTGCCTGGATTATATGTCCATATATAATCATGAAACAGAAATTGTTACCAGCAAATGGTAGCTACCATAGTATATCACATATATTTCTTCCATGAGATGGTTTTAGAGAGCTGGGCCTATTCCTCCTGAACAGTAAACACTAAATAAATATTTCTGAATAGCACTAGAAAAGTCTCTTAATTTGTCAGAAAGGCTTAAAATAAGGCCTAAAGCAGGAGGTAGAATATAAATTCATTTCCTTTGAACTCATTTTTATGATACACATATTTGAAGATCATCCAGATTCTTGGTTTACAAGCTTAGGACTGGTAATTATAAGGGTTTGTTAACACTGAAGGTAATTCAACATTTTCTTTATGATGCATTTCCTGTAAATTTCTGAGTGGTCAGAGTAATTATGCTGGTGTCTTTGGTGGTTTGTGCAGCTTTGCAGAAATTTCGAGTGTGACTCTCTCACATGATAGTACAATCCTTTTGGCCATTAGTCTAACTTCATTAATTTGTCTTCACAATTTAAAAAAAAATACTGCAAAGGAGGAAAATGTTGTTTGATATTGAAGGGACAGTTTTTGGGCCGACCCGGTGGCTCACTCGGGAGAGTGCGGCACCAGGGTCACCGAGGCCACGGGTTTGGATCCTATATAGGGATGGCCAGTGCACTCACTGGCTGAGCGTGGTGTGGGCGACACCAAGCCAAGGGTTGCGATCCCCTTACCGGTCACAAAAAAAAAAGGACAGTTTTTTTTGTCCTTTAGAATTTACCTAACTTCCTGTCTGAGTAGGCTCTTATTGAAACTTATTAGTTCAGTCACATATGAAAATATTTAAATTGAAGTATGGCACTGTGTTAGAGATAGAAAGTTGTTTTCCGAGATTCCTAATGTTCTACTTTTATCTCATGTTTCTTCAGAACTAACATGTTCCCCCTTTTATTGGGGAAACAAAAGACCCTCCTCTCCTCCATATGTGTGTTAATCAGGAGAATTGTGTAAGTGGAAGGACCTGTAGGAGGAAGAGGTGCATTGAAAGCAGGGGAATTTTTCTTTAGCTTCCTTTTTAAAGAGTTTCAGCAAGATTGAATGAGGAAGAACAGCCCATTTTTATTTTTCAGAAGACATAACAGCTGAAAAAAAAATTATATTGGGTTTGTATACCCTGACTTGGTACACCCAAAGCAAATTATGTAGAATTTAGATAGAAGATTTAAAAAGGAAATGATGTAGCCTCAATTATTTGGATGGTAAAGTATCGATGTGATGTAATTTTCTCAGGTGCCAACATAACTTTTCTATGCTACTTTCCTAATAGTTATTTCTTTCTTGTATCATCGTGGCCTCCCAACCCCCCACACACTCCCACCCTGGCCCACTTCTTACACAAAGACTTTCTGTTAGTTGTTTTTATGCAAAGGTTCAGAAGCATATTTAATGGTGTGTGTAAATGTGCCTTCAGGATAATGATAATGTGTAATTTTTCTCACTGAATTCAAAACTACAGGTAATCATAGCCAAAATGATACCTAGGACTTGTGTTCTTTTGATATTTGTTTTTTAAACACTTGGTTGAGAAAGTTAGAAGGGTTTAAAAGTGTTTTGCTTTTTTGACTGTTTCAAAGTGAATATTTTAATCTTAGCTTACATTTTTAATGCATTTTAAATTTATAATCATGATATAAAATAGTTCATACAATGTAGGAAAAAATCGTACAGAATATCATTACCTTCTACAACTATTATTCTTATTTCTTTTCAGGCTTTTACTGAATGCATGTTTTTATACACAATTGTAATTATTGCTAATTTCAAAATTAGCAGTAATTAGAATTTTTTTTTTGGTGATTCAGTGGAACAATATACAAATGAAGAATATGAATTTTCTTAGCTTAGGAAATCACCTATTACTGGAGTCACTGATTTTTAAATTTGCCATACTCACATGATGATTGTAAATACTATCTTATTATGGGTAGTAAGAACTAATTTTATCTTTTAATGTTGAGTAAGGCTTACAGTTGTTCTGTCAGCAACAGCGGCTATAGAGTATAGAATCTAGTTTTGTAAATATTAGATTTGACTGTGTTACTGGGAAACTGAAAATAAAAAATATATAAATGTAAGCATGATACAAATTATAAAATCTAAATGTTGTTACGAATAATGCAGCTATGGGGTATATTCTATTATCAACACAATTGTGTGTAAAGTGTTATTAGACAAGTTTAAACAAGAAACTCCTTAAAGGGAAGTAATCATTTCTCGTTTCATTTTGTTTTCGCTTAAAGAGCTTTTTTCCCTCACTAGGAGTTGCTTTAAATCTCTGGGATGGTCTGTTCCAAATTTACTACTTCTGGATTGGTTAAGATCCCTTTTAAGTATGTGCTTTGTTCTCTGGAAAGCTTAGGTCAGTTGAGCAACACGCTGCTACTGTTAAAAAAAAAAAAAAAAAAAAAAAGCTGAGTAATGCTGGAGCCTTCTCATGTGGCTGATGCAAACCTGGAGAATTTGCATCATCACTTAACTGGAGTAAGTTGGTGTGACAGGCAGGAGCTTAAATACAAGCCCACGAGGAAGCTGAGCTGGTTTGTAATGATAGGGCGGCAGGAGCCGAGGCAGCAACAGTGGTGGAAGGGGGAGGTGGAGGGCTGAGCGCCCCATGAGCACACAGGTGTTTCTCAGTAGTAATTAGATTGCTGTGCAGGATAAAATACACCTCTGAGTTTTTACCTGTGAGCACAATAGCGCTGAGAGAGACAAACTGAAAGCAAAGAGGAAAACATCGATCAGTCACACCAAGAAATACCCAAGTTGAAAGTTTTCTGGTTTTTTTTTTTTTTTTTTTCCTGTTTCATTTTTCCCCTGTGTGTCACTACTATGGTCAGAAAGCCTGTTGTGTCCACCATCTCCAAAGGAGGTTACCTGCAGGGAAATGTTAACAGAAGGCTGCCTTCCGTGGGCAGCAAAGACCCACCTGGGCAGGAGAAAGTGGTGTTGAAGAAGAAAATCACATTACTGAGGGGAATCTCCATCATCACTGGCACCATTATTGGAGCAGGAATCTTCATCTCTCCTAAGGGCGTGCTCCAGAACACAGGCAGCGTGGGCATGTCTCTGACTATCTGGACGGTCTGTGGGGTCCTGTCACTATTTGGTGAGTGCAACTTCTTCTCTGGGGGGTGTGGCTGTGGGGCCGGGAAGTTTGCTTTCTGGGAAAGCAAAGAGTAATTTTTGAGGATTGAATGAATGGCAAAGGCTACACAAATTTTAAAAATTTGTGTTTAGGTATGTGAACTGCCTAAACACAGTGTCCACTGTTGGCATGATTTTGAATTCCTTCGAATAGCTTTCTGCAGGCTGTACGCTCTTTTCCTGACTAAAACTATTTTCTGACTTTCTCCTCTGGTGATGACAGCAAAGGCTGACGTTGATGACCTGGTAAAATACACGTGAGCTTTTTGTCCTGGGAAGTCGTGCTTCGTTGTGTGTGTTTGGGGCATTCTGGCAGCTGGCATGCTGAATGAAACATCTGGGAAGTGAAACCTGGCATGGCCTATTTAGATACAGAACTGAGTGTGCAGCAGAGAAGTCTTACTGACTTTTTATTAGCAAGGGAAATGGGTGGCAGTCTTTCCTTCTTAATTTTTTAAACTCATGTTTGTCAGTTTCTAATATTCTTTCAAAAGTTCTTAATGTGGAAAGATGTATGATGAACGGCAGACGTAAGTGAGAATACTGCAGTGTCCTGAGCATATTTCAAACTGTTTCAATCTTTCATCACATCTCAATGTCTATAAACTTTTGCAATATAAGTTTTAAAACTTCAGTTGGGTGTTAGTTTGCTGTGCTTGCCCTGATCTGTTTTCTTCATCTATATTTCACTTGGTCTCCAGGGACACAGATAATTTGACCACCTGTTCACTGAATTACTCTAGAGAACTGATAGAAAAGAAGTATGACTATTAATTTTTCTTCAAATCTATGTCTCTTCTATTGATTTGATAATTAATAGGAAAGAAGTAATAAATGCCTCTTCATGAGGTGGTTGACACAAACTGGTGAATTGGCAAAAAAAAAAAAAAAGGAAAAAAATTTATTTATGCTATAAGGTAAATGTCTAAGATATATTTGCTCTTCTCTGGAAAATAGTGTGCTTTGATTCCAAAGGCTACTACACTTTAACGTTACTACCTTTTTGTCCTAACTCTAGGACCAAGTACTCACTCTTGGTATTACGTGTACCAATCCATTCATTCTTTCTACTCATGCCTTGTGACGTTTTAATCCATTGGTTTGGCAGTCATCTAGATAACAAAAATTTTCATTTTTAGGAAGAAGGTATTTTAAATAAAACTCGTTAAAACAAAGTCAATATAGAAAGGTCTATAGAGGAATAATTTGGGGGGTTTTAGGAAAATTTTGTAGTTTTTTTATGTAAATAGCTTGTGCTTTATAAAATATTTAATAACAGTGTGTGTCATTTTTTTCACAGCACTATTATCTACCCTTATAAAATACTTAGGAGTAATATGGTTATGAAAAACTCTGACAGAACCCTTGGCCACTATTAATATTAAAATGGTTCTGGTATGTGCAATTACAGACAAATAAAAATAACCTAATTGTTAATATTTTTAAAATGACTTTGTGCACCCTAAGCCTTTAATCTTTCTACAGCACTTGGTGTATTCAGAATAAATCAATATCTAATTGGAAAAACCATAACCAGTTTTTTGAACTTTGCAAGTGGTGCATGCAGCTATCACTATGTGATTCAATTTTTGAATACAATAAAAGGTTATTCAGATGTAATAAAATAGATAACTCTGAATATTAAACTAGTTAAAGTGATGTTGACTTATAATATGAAAATAAATACGTTTATGCATTAATATATCATCTCAAGCAGAAGTTCAAAAAAAAAAAAAAAAGAAAAAGAAAACAGCTAAGGAGACTAGCTAAGGTTACACTTGAGTTGGTATTCCCTAATTACTAATTTCAGGGAGTGTGCTCTTGTATTAATGTACTTATCTGTATTTGCATTGCATTTGTCACTTCAGTTACAGAGAGCTTTTGGACAGGTGTGTCTCCCTAACAGGAAGTAATACAAAATGTTAGGGAAAAAATATCCTTCTTTTTCTTAAAACACTAGAACTCTGGGACTAAGAGTAAAGAATCTATATATTTGGCTTAGCATTTTTTGTAAAGCCAGGATCAATACATGGATTTTACATCCTGTTTTGAACTTTTTTTATCTGGGCAAAATGGTTATGGAGCTTGAGACCTTTAAATGAAAATCTCATTCCCCCAGAACTTAATTTAAACCTAGGGCAACCATCCTGGAGTTTGAGCAAAGCATACACAGGTCTAGGTATCTGGGTATTGATTCTCTGGCAATAAATTCTGAGATTACTTAAGACTCCTTCCAATAACATTTTATATTAGATGCTTTTCTTGACAGCCTACCAGCATGGTGACTGTTTCTCCACAGAGGGTGAATTGCAACTAGTTACAATTAGTTATAAACAGACAAAATATATCAGTACTACACAAATATCGGTCTGAACACTAGTTACTTTAGAATTATCCATAGGAATTTTAAAGTAATAGAGATTCTTGGTTCCCTCTTTTGGAGAGTCTGGACTTTTTTAATTGGAGAGTGGGTCTGGCATATGGTTTTAGAGTCTCTTCTTTGCTTGATTGTTTTTGAATTAAAATTCTTCCCAGGTAACTCTGATATAGTGCTAGATTCAGAAATCAAAAAAGCGGTACTAAGATTTTATTGAATATCCAAATTATATTCATGTTGAACAGTTCTATCTGAAGCATTACTGATTAGCAATCACTTTCCACACTTTTAGTCTTTGAATTAGCTTGGGCAAAAATTGTGTGTTACATTTGAACACATAGCAGAGCAGACAGAACTTTTTACATAATATCAAGATATATTTTCATTTTCTCAATAACTAAATGCTCAAATTAATGTTCAGCTATATTTCATGCAGTGCTTGCCATGTTTCAGGCCCAGTACTGTCCCTGGTACCATTATATCATTATACACGCAACTCTCTCTCTCTCTCTCTCTTTTTATTTTTCTCTTAATACATATGAAAATTTTAATGAAATGATCAAGTTTTGGGAAGTACATGAATTCTCAAAATAGCCTTAAGAAAAAATTAAAACTTGAGTAACCAATAAACAAGAATACATGAAAAAATTATCAAGGTAGTCGATAAAAATGGCTCCTGATCTCTACAGTTTTAAGGGTGTCAGCTCTAAAATTTCCAAGAAATGAATAACCAGCGTCCATAAACTGATTTATAGCATAAAGAGGAGGTAATGCTATTCATATCATACTATTATAAAGCAAGTGCATCCCTGATATTAAAACCTGCCAAGGTAGTGTGCTTGTGCATGTGTGCACACACATGCACAAATTTAGATCAGTCTTATGAAAGTTTATGTAAAAATCATAAATAAAATACTGGAAAGTCAAATGTGTCTGTGGGGTTAAAATTAATGTGCACTGACTGAAACTATCCCAGAAATAAAAGGAAGTTTAATAACAGAAAGGGAAAAGTGTTTAATAAAATCTAGTATCTATTTCTCATAAAATGGAAGTCCCACTTAACTATAAATAGAGGATAATTTCTTACTGTAAGAAAAGAAATCTATTTCAAACCAACAACTCCCAGAAGCTTAATGTGAAACACTAGAGTCATTCTTATTAAAGTGATGAAAAGACAAGGAGACCCTATGATCACCACTATCAGTTGAGATTGTTCTAGGATTGCTAACCCCGCTGTAGGGTAGATATGATATATCACATTTAGACGATCCCAGCAAAAACATCTTTACATAACATAATCAGGTGAAGATGATTAGAATTAATAAGAGGTTAATAAGGGAACCAGATATAAAGTTAGCACACAAATCTGTAGCTTTCCTACATACCACCAATCACTAGTTATTAAATAAACATAAAATGATCCCATTCACAAAAGCAACTACAATAGGAACTATGTAGAAATAAACTTAAAACATCTACATGAAGAGAAAATGGCACACTTTGCTGAGCGATTTAAAATAAGGCTTGAGAAATGTATGATATTCTTTTTTTTAAAAAAATTTATTTTATTTTTATTTTTATTTTATTCTTCTGTTTGCTTGTCGTATCAACTTCAAGGAATTGTAACTGCTGTGTCTTTTTCCCTCCTGCCCCCACCAGGTTATTTGTGTATTTATTTATTTATTTTTAGCTCCCACAAATAAGTGAGAACACGCAACTCTCTTATGACGTAAAAACTGAGCTCTCCACTTTACAGTGGATGAAACTAGATTTTGGAAGGTTATATGACTTGCCCAATTCTATGTAACTTTATTGCTATATATTAAAAATATTGGTTTATAGTTAATTTTACCTAATGTACATAAATATAAATTATAGCATCTCTTTTTTTAAAGTATGCTCTTTCAACTACCCACTGTGTACACTTCAACAACATCCATGATAATCTTTTCTATAAACAGATTATCTGAGTCAGAATTTATTTGTTGGCAAACTATATCATACAAACTAAATGAAGTCTTGCAAGACATAGAGTTCATACTTAAGAGCAGATATATCTTGTTTATTTTGATTTGCCACAGAAACATCATGTATTAAAAGGGCTCTGAGTACAATGAGGTCAATTTGGGATAATTCCTTGTCTTGGTGTGAGGTTGTGTTCTTCTAAAATAGATCAGTATTATTGGCATCTATATTCTCTTTTTCCCCTGTTCCCAGGTTTTCAACTCAATACTCTGAAACATATATTGTTTTAGAAATTTGTCTTTATCATTTCAAGTAAAATTACATTGTTCAAATAGAATGAACTAGATCTCAAATGTGAGGAAGTTAGAAGAGGAAGTTGGTGCGGCTTAGCAATTAGATGATGGTTATTTACCATGAAATAAGGATGCTATTCAGACCAAAAGAGGTAGTTACATGTCATGCAATACATTGTTGTATCAAGTCTACCACTGAGTGTGTAGAATATATTAAATAAATGTGTATCCTTTTGTTATAAATATTTCACAGGAGCCTTGTCCTATGCTGAATTGGGAACAAGTATAAAGAAATCTGGTGGTCATTACACATATATTCTGGAAGCCTTTGGTCCATTACCAGCTTTTGTACGAGTCTGGGTGGAACTGCTCATAATACGGTAAGGGTATAGATAGAAAACAAGGAAAAATAAACCTATTCATTACATAATTCTTCTGAATCACCTTGACTGTTCTTTAACTGCCTAGAAATATGCATGTCATTGTGACTGTGTTGTGAACATGTCTGCCTCAGGATATAAAATCTGTGATAAAATACCTTTCTGGATTAACATTTTTTATGGAGTTTGTCACTGGCAGTGGTTCACCAACAATGCCAAACTTCTAATGTAACTGCCTTTCTTTAATCTTCAGTTATTTCCTTTGACATTTCTAGAAAAGATGCTTACTGGAAAAGATATGAAACATCAAACTCCACCTTGATAAATTATACCTTTTGACTGACCAGATAAAAGTAAATATTATCCTAAGAATTGGCATTTTCTCGTGTAATAGATTATATCATGAAGTACTTTGCTGAGTCTTTATGACTAAGAACTTCTGTGCCTAACAACTTAGTGTGTCACCAGGTCTTCGAGTTCACAAAAAATCAAGTTTACATGATGTTAGTGACTCACTTCCTTGTATTAAACAAATCAGGAACTACAGTTGTGAAAATCTTTTGATTTTATTGTTATAAAAATATGTTTCCCTGCTTGATTGTCTTGGTTTAAAATTAAACCAAATAGTGCCCAGTCACTCTGAATAGCAAATTTCCTTCCACTTTGTGGGAAACTTATGATGTCTTACTAGCAGTTCAAAGTCTCACAATTCCTTAAGGCCAACTGCTTCCATAACGTGTGACTTGCACTTTCTGGTTAGAGAGTTTAATAGAAATAACTGGGGAAACTTGCTCTTACTGTCAATTTATCAGGCGTACGTAGCTGAGAGTTCACGTGAGCTTTTATTCTGTCATTTGCAGCTAAGCGGCAAATACAGAACTAATAAGTATCAACTTAACACTAATCATGATTTTTATGGTGTTAGGAGTCTCTTTTTTAACAAAGAGCTTCAAAGTAGTATATATTTTATTGTTAAGTCTGTTCTCATTTTAAACAATTCTGCATTATTTCAAACTTGATATAATGAAATAATGATAAAGGAGTATTTCGTTGCTTTTCTTAAATCCTCCTATATGGGATATATCTTCTGCTCCTTTTTGATTATCTG